GGGCTGAAGTAGAAGGGAAATATTTTGGAAATGTACATGGCAACATATGTACAAGTATGCTTAATACAATTGAATGATGGATTGTCATAAGATTTGTAAAAGTTCCCAATAAAATGATTAAAAATAACAAAACATAAAGTATGAATTCCAAAGCAATGGTAATTCCAAAGTTTTCAGAAATGCAAATTCACAGGACCCCATCCTAGACCTGCTGCATCATAAAAGCTGGGAGCCAGGTCCAAGAATCTGTTTCAATCTAGGAATCTGTTTTAATACTTTCCTTTGGAAGATTCTGATGAGGACTTGAATTTTAGAACAACTGCTTTATCCTTCTAAATGAACACTAGAAAAAACATAATCTGAGTGGCAGGGGATAAAAGTCACTATCAAAGAAATATCTTTTATTAGCAACATTCTATCAATGTTTAAAAGCATTGTTTGCTCATAATGATATTCAATTTATTATTTCTAGTAACTAGTCACCTTGTCTCATCAAACAGAGAGGAATGGCCGACAGAAACAAACAATAACAAAATCATTACGGCAGTAAAAGGTACACAATAAACTTGGTCTGTTCCAGCATTATTCCTGGCAACCTGTGGTACCTTGGCATGGATAAATAGGCCAGTCTTCAGCTGGCATCTCCACGTCCTCTCCTCAGGGTCATCCAGGAACCTGGTCACATTATATGCATGAGAGGAGCTCTATGCACAGATTCCAAAATGAAAACAACTAAGAAATAAACCATCTTAATAGTTTATTTACACATTTTCAATCCAAAGACTACAGTTCTAAGTTGAATTTGACAGTACTAAGATGTGGCACAAGGCATCTACGTCTGATGACATCCACACTCCTCTATAAAGTCAACGCTTTTAAAACCTAGTCAATGAACCGTGTGGAGGAAGCTGAGATGGGGGTGAAGAGGATGGGAGACAGGCAAAAAAAAGTTACCCAAAGTTTCTGGAATGTTTCTTCTCTCTCTAGTTACATCTGAGAGTCTAATAATTGTTCCTTCCTTTCTTTCCGTTTTGAAACGTAATCTCCCAGATTCTTCATCATCATCGTCTTCTTCATCTGATTCTTCTTTTGCGTCCTTCTGGAGGTCCAGAGTTTCCACACCTCCCTATATTATAAAGCAGACATACAAACAAAAAGGGAGGGAGACTGAGTTCATAGTCTTTTCAATTAAGTGTGAAGAATGCCATTTCATGTTTTCAATGGTTTATGTTTGACATGTAAACCTATAGGATTATTTTCCTGCTATAACACTGTGAATCACTGAGCTGATTATAGAAATTCAGTTATTAGGAAAACTTCAAATACCATTAACATGTAAAATATACTTCTGAAAGAAACTAAATGTAATAAAGAATTCTGAAATCTCTAGACTGTTGCAAAAAGTTCAATGTCATAGCTAAATTATCCTATTTTCCACATGCCAATAAAATGGCACACATTAGTGTATCATATACATGCAAATCTAATATGCAAGGGATTGTGCATTTTATCAAAAAACCCTATGTAAGCAGTCATTTGTTTAACAATCTGGCAAATACTAGAGGGAATGAATTTATTGGTATGTAGCCCCATCTATTAGATATCATATTCCTCCCAATACAGGCTTCAAAACTTTTTTTCTTACTCAATTATTTTCTGACCCTAATACAAAGTAAATGATCAAAATCTGTGAGTTTTCCGTTTCCCACCCCAGCCAGCCTCCAAAATCTTTCCTTCAAACTTTCACCTCTTTCTACTTCATTTCCACTGTTTAGCCCTATTTTTTTCTTCAGTTGCTTTTTTCTGATAAAGCCAGCATTTATTTTCAAGTTACTCCATCAGTGGCCTGGCAGTTTAGTGGGCTACCTACTCTGCAGCTAACCACAGGTCCTGTGTTCAACCCACCAGTAGTTCAGCGGGAGAGGGATAAGGCTCTCAGCTCTTACAAAGATGGTCTTAGAAACCCTCAGGGGCAGCTTTAGGGTGTCATCACATTGCTAAGAGCAACTCAACTGCAGGAAGTTGGTTTTTATCAATATGAACCACAAAACTTTCTCCATCTCACTCCAAAGTAGCATCAGTAATTCTTACTGCACAGCATCACTCGTGTTCGTTTTGCCCCTAATCACCGTTCACCTACAGAGTAATATACTCCACATGCAAGAGAATGAAGTTGGGCTCCTGCCTCATACCATACAAAAAAAATAACTCAAAAGAGATCAATGACCTAAAATAAGATCTAAAAATATAAACTATTAAAAGAAGGTACAAGGGCAAGGCTTAGAGACTGCTTTGGCCAAGATTCTAACCTTTAATACAAAATGCACAGTAACAAAATCAAAAGAAGCTGAACTTCATCAAAATTAGAAACATTTGTGCATCAAAGGGATTTATCAAGAAAGTAAAGAACCAGCTCACATATGGGAGAAAATATTTGGTAAGAACGTATATGCTAAGGGCTTAATATTCAGATTATGTAAAGAACTTCTACAATCCAACAACAAAAAGACGACCAATTAAAAATTGGGCAAAGAGCTTGAAGAGGCATGTCTCCCCAAAAAATGATACACAAATGACCAAAAAGGACATGAAAAGACAAAAAATGCCATTAACTGAAATTAAGAAGCATTATTTATTAAGTGACTACGAGAGAAATACATATAAAAAACAATAGAATACCATGTCCCACCCGCCACTATTGTTGTTGGGCACCACTGACTATTGACTCTTAAATCACAGTGACAAGTAAAACCGTCCTGAGTGCTTTCTCAGCTGCACAGAAGCAGAACAACTGTTTTTCTGTGTAGCAGCTGGGTGCTTTCAAACACCCTACCAGTGGCTGGGTGTGTGCGTTCATCAAATACCCAACCCTTTTTATCAGCATACACTACGTTGGGGCTAATACTAGAGAAACCAAAATTAACAAGCTTGCAGAAGTGTGTAAATTGAACCACTCATCCATTGCTGTTGGGAATGTAAAATAGCATAATCACTCTGGTAAACAATTGGACAGTTCCTCAAAAAGTTCAAACATAGAGCTACCAAATAACTCAACAATTTCACTCCTAGCTATCTACCCTGCCAAAAAAAACCCAACCAAACAAAAAAAAGGAAAACAGTAACTTCAACAGATGCTGGTACATCATGGAATCTTTCCTCACATAACCACAAGATGGTGACAATCCAAGTGTCTCCTAACAGATGAATGGATAAACAAACTGGGATGAATGTGATACAATGTAGTAGTAGAATTCAGAAATGAAGTTTTGAAACATGCTGCAACATGGATGAACCTATGCTGAGTGAGTGACACAGTCCTAACAAGGCATGACATATCTAGAATAGACAAGTGAATCAATCCATCAGGCTGAGTTTCTGCCTACAAGCTTCAAAATGGTTTCAAACGAATAGTGGTGATGGCTACCCAACACAGTGAATATAATTGATGCCACGGAATTACACAGTTAAAAATACAACTGGTTAAGATGTCACATTATGTCTATTTACCACTATACACAGGTTTTTAAAAAGTATACATACCTACTGAGTGTTAGAGTCAAACACAGCTTCAAAAAGCTTATGGAAAAATCATGGTCTTTAACCTCATCTTTCCATGGACTTTTAGAAGCCCCGTCATACTGTTTGTAAATTTTGAAACAGAATTTTCCATTTTTATCTCCTTATTCCTGTTTTAAATATCCACTGATCTTAATACAACAAAAAATGAATTACTTCATTAGAAAACTGCTTAAGAAATATGTTGGTTAAAACTAACTCGTTACTTTTGATACCTTTCGCAAGCACGTTCTATATTTGATCAACTAGAAATACACATACTTCTTTATTATAAACTTTACACACAGAAGCATTTTTTAGGAGTTCAGATGCTTGAGAATAAGAGGTTTTTAAGTAGCAATTAAAGCTATACTTTAATTCTAGTGATTACAATAACCACTTTCAGTATTCTGATATTCAATATTATCATATCAGCATAACTGAGTATCTGAAATCTGAATGGCTGATCAATGAGGTATATTCTGCACTACAATTTCAAATCAAACAGAGTCAAACATATTTAGAAAGTTTTAATCTATTAACCAAAAGGTTAGCAGTTTGAACTATGGCTTTGTGGCATTAAAAAACCCGGCAATTTGCCCCATAAACATCCCACCAAACTAACTGCCAGTCAATTATGACTCAGAGCAATCATATACGACTGCTCCCTAGAGTTTCCATGGCTGCAAATCTTTAGGGGAGAATACAGCTTCATCTTTTTTTCCTTAGGAGTGGTTGGGGTTCCAAATGACCAATCTTGCAACTGGCAACCCAACACATGATCCACTATGCTACCAGGGCTCCAAGAACAGCTTATAGGGCAAGTGCTACACTGTCGGTCATTACTGAGTTGGAACTGACTCAATAGGATCCAACAACGCCTACTACTTCTATAATCATCTATAGCAGTGCTTCTCAAATCTGAATTTTTATATCGATCATAACATAAAATGCAAACTTGATTCAGCAAGTCCAGGATAAGGCCGGAGATTCTGAAATTCTAACAGGCTCTCAGGTAAAGTCAATTGCTTCTGGTCTACAGGTGACACTTTAAGTAGCAAGGGCAGAACAAAAGAAAATCAACAAAGCAAAAATTCTATTACCATAGTCATTTTTATTTAATTCAATCAATTACAGGTCAGACTTCTGAGATAGTTTATTGTGCCAGTCTGGCCGATAAACACAAGTGGGATTAACTGAAGGGCGGTCAGATAAATGATTCAGTGAGCCTTGCCTTTCTGGTTTCTCGCTCTTTGATCATCGGACCAGTGTGCAACTGCCTTGCTTGTTCTGTGCCTCAATTTACAGGCTACACTACCTGTGGGATGCCTAGCCTGTGAACTGTGTCGCTGTAAGTTGAGGTCCCTTTAAAGACATCTCTGGAGCTGGGGACTGGCGGTTGGTGACCTGGCTGACAGTTGGTGACCTGCCTTGTGATTGGCTGCTGTGCTGAGATAGCCTAGCTCGCGCTATATATAGAGGAAGACCTGGCAGCAGACTAGACTTGAAGGACTGCTAATGTCTCACAACTCTCTCTCTCACGGGAGTGAGTTGCACTGAGCCATTTGTACTTCATAATTTAACTGTTCATTTCTTGTATTATATATCTATTTGTATATAATTTAACAGTTCATTTCTTGTGTTATATATCTAATTATCTTTATAAATAAATATATCAAATTATCAGCAATTTGGTTTTATTTCTCTAGAGAACCCTAACACAACTTCCCAAAATAGATTAATAAAAAACAGGGCAGCACTGAAAGTAACATCGCTTATTCATCATTCAAATCTCTATCTAAAGAGTGAACAGCAGTCACAATGAATTCAACATTTCTTTGGAACAAACATTACGGTCTACCATTGACCTAAAAATTGTCTTTAATTCAGCAATCCTATTCCTAGATACTCACTCTAGAGAAATAAAAACAAATTCACACACAAAAACAAAGCAACCGACCTTGTAGAAAAACGTTTACACCTCTATTCAGAACTGCCGAGACTAGAAACTCAAAACACTCTTGTCTTTCAATGAGTGAAAAGATATTAAGCTGTGGGTTCATCCATGAACACCAAGTGGCAAAACAGAATAAACTATCACACAATTTGGAAGAATCACAAAGGCATTAAGCTGACCAAAAGGAGTCAATATCAAAAGTTTCCATGCCACATAAGTCCATTTACATGAGATTCTTGATGAGACAAAAATTACAGTGCTTGTCAAGGGTTAGGAATGGACAAAAGGTGAAACTGAAAAAGTAGTATGGCACAAGAGTTACTTGTGTTCTATTCCACAAGTGCTGCAAGTTTTTGTACTGAGTGTTAAAATGATGTATTTAGAGACAACATGTACCCTAAACAGAAACGCAAGGATCAAATTAACTACATCTATGAAAAGAGACAGAGCACTCACTGATAGGTGACATAGTGGTTATGTGTTGGGATGCTAACCGTAAGGTCAGCAGTTCAAATTCACCAGGAGGAAAACGGGGCTCTCTGCTCCCATAAAGAGTTCCAGTCTCAGAAAATCACCAGGGCAGTTCTCTCCAATCCTACAGTGTTGCCCTGAGT